AGAGAGGGAGAGGAGAGAGAGAGAGGGGGAGGGAGAGGAGAGAGAGAGAGAGAGAGAGAGAGAGAGAGAGAGAGAGAGAGGGAGAGGAGAAAGAGGGAGAGGAGAGGGAGAGAGGGGGGGGGGGGGAGGGGGAGAGAGAGAGAGCAGCAGCCTTACCCGAGTTACAAAGATGCTGTCGTCGCTTTCATTTTCCGGGTTTGCTGGAGGACTGTTGAGACCGCCGCCAATGCTAAACCCGAACCCCTCACCTCGATCGGTTTTCAATGTGAACTCCTGCACCATGTATAATTCACAGACACAGCAGAGAATGTTTGGAGAGAACGAATGCTAAGGATGACATGCATTCGTCTCCTAATTAGTGCACCTCAAAAGGTAGTTGCGGATATGGCACTGTACTAACAAAGCCGCTAATTGTCTGGCGATTGAGGAAATGGTACTGAGCAGTTTTCAAATCTGTCAGATATGCTTAGTCCCCATTACTAGTAGTCTAGTACAATCTCAGAATCAGGCAACTGAGCCGGAAGATACCGCCAATGCGTGAGCAGATTCAAGTCAAACCGCTGATGTGGCTGCCATGTGGCGTGTGTGTGTGTGGGGGGGGGGGGGGGGGGGAGGGGGTCATTTTTCAGATTGATCCGTCCTTTCCAATACGAATTGGCATTGTATTATGAAAATCATCAGAGAATCATCAGTGAGTTCGAAACTTGTGGTAACCCTAGTGAAGATCCCGCTCACCTTCAGACCTGCGGGAGGGTCGTCATGACGCACGACTAGTGTAAGTATCTCGCGGGACTTTGCCAGCATTGCGACTGCCTGCTCGTGCGTCAAACTTTCAAGATTGTGTCCGTTGACCTGCAAGACCAGATAACCAAATGAGAAGTACGTACACTGTTGGCGAGTGATGATTTAGAGCAGTGGTTGTGCGACAAACGGGAACTACATGTGATGATTTAGAGCAGTGGTTGTGCGACAAACGGGAACTACATGTGCGTCCAAGCAGTGGTTGTACACCTTGCTTGTAGGTCATGCTTGCACGCCAACGAGCAACTAGGGATCAAAATGAACATGATCAAAGTGCACAGTGCAGCAGCTCAGCTGAATGTCCACCGACTCACCGATATGATTCTATCTCCGGCACGAATAGCAGTGTTTGCAGCCGCTCCACTGGGAAGAATCTGTGGCCATTTTGAATATGGTTAGTTAGAACACCAAGAATGTGCAGTTACTTTCCAATGTAGTTACTATGGTTACTAAGTTAGTGTTGTAATAGGGCTTGTTTTAAAAAGTACTACATCACGGCCAGCCCGCCGTCAGGACAACGCTGACGCTTGGATCCACTTGAATCCTGCTTTGTACGGATCCATACACGTTACACGTTTGCCGTGTGGCTTTCCTTCACACCTGCGTAACACATCCACCTGTATTGACTAGATTAGGCCCTCCCGGTCGGGGACACGCTCCTGGTACAGAAAAATTCACACCTGCGTGCGGCATGTGGGGCAGGGTGGACCCAGAAGTCGTTATTTATTGACCTCTGACATCATCACTGTCAACCCCTATGTCATGATCAATGCCAATACAATACAATACAATACAATACAATACAAGTACATAGTTCAAAGTGCATGTAAGTTATTGGGAGAATGACAGCAACTACAGTTGTACATGTACTGATGTAACTATACTCGTGTGGTTAAGTACGTGGGTGTATCTGAGAAATCACTGTGAGGGTGTAGTGTTGTCGCATTCCACCCCGCCCACCTGGTCACTACAACACTACAGAAGTGTACAGGGGTGATTAGAGTGAAATCGGACCCAGGGCGTTAATAAAAACCGGAGGGACGGGGGCACCTCTCTCCTCCTCCCCTCCCCCCCCCCCCCCCTAGATCTGCCGCGACCTGCCGCTATGAAGCATCCCAAAACTGTGTATTGGTACCAAGACGGGGCTACCGCTGTTTACGGCGGTGAGTTAGCCATCAACACACAGAGCACCAACAAGGGTGCAATGCCGCTGTCTGCGTTCACCCGGCCACTGCCCGTACCCATGGTTCCTGGTGCTAACCAAACACCAGTGATATTATCTGTCACTCACCCCGGTGATAAGGCATCCGGGCCGATCGCCTTTCTTGAAGACATGCCCCGGTCGGTCCAAACCACCCATGATGCACAGGCCGAGGCGGTCAGCTTTGCTCTTGATGATTTGCACCTCCTGAACAAGTCAAGAATGTACCACAGCCAAACACAGAGCACCGGCACAGAGCATTGGACCGATTCAAGAGAGAATATACCGTCACAACAAGCTTGCATGCCTTTGCATGTATTAGTTCCTACTACACTAGGCTAGTATCTACAGGTGCGGCACTCACTGAGTCACTGACTCACTGAGTAGACAGTGACCAGGTGAAAGAACCCGGTCAGCAGCCAAGCAATCATGTGTGCATGGGTCAACCATTGGGCAAGATCCAGTCCTGGGAGACTAGAATCAAACCGTTGCCAGAGTGCCTCGGCGCCCTCCCCCCCCCCCTCCCCACAATGTGTGTGGCGTGAACCCTTTAAACCTCTCCACAAGTACGGTTTAGATCAGGGAGTAGTAACATACTACATCCTGGCTTAGATTACCTCTAGTCGTAGTGAGGGCCTGCGTGGCTCCACAGGTACTTCATTCTCGTCCACTGATAGTGTGAGCAGTGCTGATTTAGGACTGCGGCCACCTTCCAACTCCTTCTGCTTGAAGTCGATTGCCTTTATGAGCTCGTCAAGCGCTTTTTGATCCGACCGAATCAGAGGGTCGTCTTGCACGGTACCCATCAGGTAGTCGAGATCCATGAGCGGCATGCGCACGCACGACATCACCCTACCAATGTGCTCCTTTCGGCCTTCCGCGTCGTGTTCCAGCCAGGTCATGGCCGCCTCGTAGACCTGCTCTTCTTTCTCCACGACCAGGTCGTCGTTGTTGAGCAGCGCCATGAGGCCGTCCAGTCCCAGGTCGGCGAACGAACTGGACAGCACCACGTCCTTGAAGTTCTTCTTGACCAGCTCCAGGGCGGCCTCCTCCAGTCCGCCCCGGTCGCCCGTGTGTGCTGACGCGAACGTCCACATACCCAGGCAGTTGTCTGTGTCCAGTGTGCGCAGCAGGTATCTGAAACATGCTTCTTTCAAGCCGGGAAATCGCAGGCAGTCGGCGCTGTTGAACAGCCTGTGCACGTTGCCCTGGCCGATTTTCACCTTCTTCGTGTAGGCGAACTCCAGTAGCATTTCAATGGTCTCCTCGTCCACAGCATCCCTGCTGAGTTCCAATACTTCATCAGCGGCGAATACTGTGTGCCCGCAGTACACATCAGCGAAGTAAGAGCTACTGGCGGCTAGCACCAGCCTGTGGGCCGAATACTCCTTGCCACCGCTCACGCGCAGCTGTGCGTCACACAGCTTGTCCTCCTGCCGCAGCTCGTTCATGTAGAGCAGGGACCGGAGCGGTCCCTCGGACTCGAAAAATGCCGTGCCGGTCTCAGGCTCGTCTGGGCAACTGCCATTCGAGGAGCCGTGGCGGCGTGGCGGCTTCTTGGCAACCTTGGGCTTGCACGCCATTGCTTGAGTCGGATCGAGTTTCACCTGAAAGACGAAGCCTTTTCCTGTCAACGTTTGGACCGTACTCGACTTGGCACCGACCTTCCAAAGTCCCAAATTGCATTTGCCGGCTCGATCGTGGGCACTTACGGTTACCGGGCTGACCCAGTGCTCGTCGAGAAAAAACCCTCGAGGCCTCAGCGCACCTAGTACCTGGCTACGGCCAGCGATTGTTTTCTCTCGCTAAGTGTCGCGTGCATGTACTTCCAAATCGCCCACTGATTCAGACAGAACAACAAACTTAGCGTCGTTTGAAGTTACTTTCTTGGTTGCCAATGCAGCCTGCGGGATGACGCTCAACCCTAGTCTGAAGTGAAGGTTCGAGTTCAAAATAGGTTGACAGCTCTCAAATCACTGCACTCAGTGGCTAGACTAGCTAGAGCCTAGAGGAGCATTCAGCCGTCAGCCGTGGCAAAGGGATACTACGAACTGTAGTCTTTAGTAGATCTGATCCACATGGAACAGCACCTAGCGCCTGTCCCTCACTGGCCTCGGTGAAGGCAGAACGTTCCAATACTACTAGTACTACCGCAGTCAATCATGTTCACTGACTTATGTCTTTACTTTAGCAGAAACATTTGCGGCTGCAACAGATCAGATGCACACCGTAGATCTACCGTCTTCATGGTCTTCGAAGATTGATTATCATGCTCCAGTCTACACTCCACATTGGACCACATGCACAGACAGTCATGTAGGTCTATGGATACGGACGTCGGTATGCACGGACGGTCGTGTAGTTTCTGCACAATCATAATGTGCCTCACAGACACTCCAGCCTGGATCCTATGCCTGGCTATGACAAGTAACCTTCATGTGACCGCCACCAAGCTCACTTTTACAAGCAACTACTACTACTACTAGTACTTGAACTAACCCAGAAGATAGGAAAGGACTTAGGTGCTCGTTACGCCAGCTGATGCTCGGAGAACTCTGCTTAGAAAGTGCAGTTACGTGCAGGAACAGCCAAGCACAAGATAAGGACGTCCGATCGTGGACACGCGGCGGGAGTTCAAATCAGATCCTTTAGCGTTCGCCACCGCTGCATGCATTGAAAAGACTTGGGATAGGCATGACCGTGAGTATTAACACTCGTCCGCATGTGACTTCCTCACAAAGACGTACAGTGATCAGGTACTGGTAATCTCCTAGCTCTGTATTCACCGACGAAGTGGGATGGTGTCAGAACTGACACTTGACAGGCGCGGGAAAGCACTACAGTCATCTATGTCTATGTCGCCATATTTACTGCACTGCACTCGTACTCGCAAGTAACAGTTACTATGAGTTAGACTTAGAGTAACCCAAGGGCCATCACCAGTGCATTCACGGTCGTATTGCCTTCAGTCTTGCCAACTTCTTATCTGTCATTGTTCATCTACAGAGTACAGTGCATGTCATCGTGTGCAGCCTGCAGGTGCATGAACTGGTGAAACCAAGATCTTGCCCTATTTAGTAAGTATTTCAGTATTTTACTAGAGAACCTGTTGAAGCAGCCTGAGCCATGCAGGCAGCAGAAGGAAACAGGTTTTCAAATCAAGCTGTGAATTGAAGGATGGCCTTCTATTCGCAAAGATTGAAACAAGCTGTGACTGCGTGGCGCTTCTTTCGCCATCGTCTACAACATCGTAGCACACTCGTGCATAATATTATGTATTTTGGTTATAAATTATTGTGGACTATTTTTTTATTTTGGTTATGATATCGATAGTTGCAGGTAATATCAATCTGGCAATCGGGGAATTCCCGCTACTGTGTTACTGATCAGGGAGTCGTATACGACTCCCTGATACTGATAGTTGCAGGTACATTGATGGATGACTAGTCGCTGCATCGTCCGTAGATCTACGTCATGTACAGTACCACCACCATAGCCTAGCCCACCCTCCGGAACGCCGCTCTTAATATTAATCTTAGCCATGTACAGTCAGTCAACCTCGTGGATAAGGACCTCAGGCTCAGTTTGTATAACAACTCGCGAACTAGTATTATTACGACTTCAACTTCACGAATGGCGACACTTTTCTCATGCACGATCGAGGTTTACCTCCCAGGCCATAGTAATAGTATGACTGTGGTCTCTTGATACTGTTACAGGCATCTGTATTCACTACAGTAGACACAATGATCGTCATAGGCATTCGCAAGTCAAGCTGTTCTGATTGATTTCATACATGTACATGTACATGTATCAAGTTTCAAGACTTTCATGCCATACATGTATTTTCACGCCCTGCGCGCCTACTTATAACAGTACAATACGAATGCTATTCATGTCACAAAGCCGCCCTTTCCTATGAAGATCAGTCGAATAACTGTCCTTTTTGAAGTTTTTCAGTAGCAAAATGGCCATTACTTTGTGTGCGATACATCTTTCATTCCATGCTCTGAATCGTGACGTACATTTCCAGGACTGTGACCGGTATGAAAGCGCATGCCTTTATTCACACTGTATAACGCACGACCCAGTGATCATACATGGTTATTGCTAGCAACCGTCTAGCGCCATGACTGAGAGTCGTTAGAGTCATTCTTCCGTTCGTGCTTTCAGTATTTGAATTGTGTTCCACTCCTCCACCATGGCAAATTGTGTTTTGTTTTGCCCGTAAAAGAGGCCTAACTGATCATGCGGCTGAGAGTCATGACTTCGGCATGATCACACTCTGGAGCTCAATATTCGGCACAACAATTACACGATGTGCATACCCGCTGCTTGCTGTCCGCCAATCATGCAGCCTGGCCTGGGCAGCTGGAGTTGTACTGCCTACTACTGGTACGGCTCCCTGTTCAAGTGTTGCCAACCCTGTGTCTCAGGACTCTCAACACGACAACAGCTCAAGTGGCCTTGGCCTAACGTTTGTTTACCAACCTGGGTCGCCATCTGCAGAGCAGGAAGGAAACTAGGAACTGGATCAGTGGATGTACTCCCCCCCCCCTCAACACACGCACACACACACACGTGTGACGTCTGTCACGCGGTGTATATGTATACTATGTACGTGTATGTCCAACGAGGTTCGGGATCTGTTGGCGGAGGTGTTTAGGGCTGTCATTCCGGATGTTCAGGTGGAGCCCACGTTGTAGTCATTGACTGGCGTGCCATCCGGTGGTGCCACCGCTAATCGTTCTCCTGGGGCTCGTCTGGCACTCTGGGCCTGTCTCTGGCCGTCTGGGCATCTGCGCAAGGGGCTTCTGGTCTTGGCAGCAAATTAGATGCATCTGTTTTTGATGTGACGGTCACCCACATGTGATGGAGGTTGAGCGAGGCACTTTCAAGTTTCACGCCTTTGGTTTTGCGACCGATGTACACAGTCATTGGTTTAAAAAAATTAATATTTGAACGGTCTCTGCTGGGATGACAGCTACACCATAGCTCATTGGTTAGACTAACTAATTAGATCATCGCTGGCCTCAAGCGAAGGTCCCCAGTTCGACTTGTAGTGGTGACAATTGTTTTTTCTTCTTCAGACTTTTCCCTTTTCAATTCCCTCAAGTAGTGAACAGTGCTGAGTTTGCTTTGAATCTATTGTTGTATTAATCTTGCTGTTTTACCTTCCGAAGTTCGTATCGATCGTGTTCTTTCAATAAAGGTTTTGAGTAAAAGTCACAGCAGTACTAGTATCTACTCAATGTGCAGGTAGTCCTGGACTGTGGGAGAGAAGCTACCGGTAGTCAGAGGTCTGCAGAATCTCCACGCTCCGCCAGTTCCGCGCCAGCATGATCCCGCACACCCTTCGTACCTAGAGTACCAAACGTCCTGTTTGATGATCAGCTGGCTTAGTTGTTCTCCACCTCTATCCTTATTACATCCCTCCCCAACAGGGGCGTACGCAGGATCCGGAATGAGGGGCGTGCTCCAACCTTTTCCCAAAGAATCGAATAATGCGTGATCCTGTGCATGTGATGCATGGATGGTTGATATCTTCATTTTTAGTGCGCTATTTACCATGATTTACCGAGTCGAGGGAACATGCAGGACCTGTTCTGTAGGATGGTGCAACCATGACGCCTTGTACCCAATCCCAAACATACTCCTCCCTTTGGAGGACGAAATGTATTTCCTCTGTAAGCTACAATGTAGGTCCATGAGTACACTATTCTTGCTAGATCATATCACGAAAACATTTTCAATTTGACTAATGTGCTTTGAAGTACTAGTAACAACTTCCAATACTTCAATTGAATGGGCAAGAAGGCAAAACTACCACTACAACTTCTGGCAAGAGTAAATAAGCTCCCAGGAGCTTATATCCTCTTGCTTCTGGTACGGAGAAATAGAATCAGGTAATAGAGGAAGCAAGTGCAATGGACGGTGGTAGCTCAAGATGGCAACGTCTGTAGGGCCTTCCTTATCAAAATAATAAACTCTACTACTACTACTACTACTACTACTACTCTACTTCAAAACAGGATTGTAGCAGAGTGCTGCCATTTTTCTGTTGGTAGAAATCAGAAGCAGTGTCTGAGGTGTTCAATGGCAGGGAGTCGAGGGGCCAGGGACCCTTTGGAAGCCGTAGCATTTTTTAGGATTTCAAGGGCCCGAAACAACAGATTCGGTTTCGGTCGGTTTGTCGGAACAACTGATCGGAGTGTTCCCGGAAAATCGGAATAGAACAAGTCGAGGCCCTGACAATAAGGATAACCCTCTGTCCTCCTGGCACATGAAAGACGTACATGACACACGGTACACTATGATCAACTAGTGACAGCGAGTGGAAAGCAAATAAATCAGTTAGAAAAATCTGATAATTGTGTCACCAAAAATCGCGTTTAAAAGTCTGGTTTATGAACATCTCTTTCAGAGTTTGGGCTCGATATAGTTTTCTAAATGTCAATATCAATCACATTTCAATGAATAGCTTCACTCAAGACCTTTCCAATGGGCCGTCATTTGCGTAAATCGGACAATCGGTCGCAAAGTTATGGTACTTTTAGCGGCATGGGTACATCAAGTTGGCCTATGTCGAAAAAATTGAGGGGGGTGCTTGAGCACCTAAAGCACCCCCCCCCCCCCCCTGGGTACGCCACTGCCCAATTTCATTATTTATTACTGCTTTCTATCTGCATTCGCCACCTTTTCATTGGGCAGATCTGCCCGGTTGGTTTGCGAATTAAAATAAACACAACAACACAGCACTATGTAGATCTAGCTGGTGCGAATGCGGGCATCTGCCAGACGCCGCCGCAGCTTTTCCAGAAATCCAAAAATGGGAGGCTGAGCGCTCCATGATCATGATGATGGCATGAGGTGACCATCACCGGCACCGGTGACTTGCGCCTTTTGCTCCTGTCAGCAGACGTGCAGACGTAGACTGCCGTTGCAGCAGCAGACTGCGATGTAGATCTACATGTACGAGACCGATCTAGGGCCTACAACAGGGACAGACGGCTAGACCACCATGCACCAGGACTACTCGTAGATCTACGACGTCTACCAATGGTCTACGAGGAAGGACAACAAAAAAGTGCAAGGCCTGCAAATGTGGCGAAGAGACCTCATTGCACACTCGCTGACTCGGCGCCCTGAACTGATGTCGTGATGACTACCGGTACTCCCCGAGTCGAGCACGAACGCCCGTGTATCACGTGTTCACAAAACAAGACTGCATTCAGCTCAGCTCAGTGCACTGACTTGTCACTAATAATACTAGTACATGTACAGTCATACATGTCTACTGGAATTAGTACAATGTATTTTTACAGTTTTGTATGTAATAAAGCCTACAGGAAATGGCAAACACGTGACCAACAATGTTTGCTTCCTTGTCCCTGACTAGTCGAGTGTAGCCTACTGTAGCAGTGTATTAGGATTCCGGGAGATCGAGACCAGGAGACGGCATGCATCAGAGCATTTTGGCGTGAGGCACATTTTACTTTATATTTATAATATTAATAGGTAAAGCTACTTGTACTAGTTACTATTCGCCTATGTAAGATGTCAATATATTGTGTGTTCTGTAACTCGTCAGGATCGCAACTACCGTCAACGGCCTTACAGTCTTACTGCTCTTAGCCCTCATTCGTTTTTTGGATTCAATCTTGTCATAAAAGTTGTACTTGTACCTCAAATGTCGTTGCTAGCGACTAGCAGCCATTTCGAAAATTTGTCGTGAGGTGGAACGCGTCTTGTAGTGAATACCTAATGACTATGTTGTAGACTTGCTGAGCTGGATTGCTAGCAACAACGCGAGTGATTACCGGTGCTGAGTTCAGACTGGACACCAGCCATGGAGTCCGGACCGACATCCGTCAGCTCCGGCGCTTGGGCTGTGAGCGGTGACGGAACTCTGAGTATTCATGTGCAGGCGATGAGTGGCGATGACCCCTGCTCGACAATAGCGTGCGGACGCGGAACAGGCACGATACGGGACTGCACGACGGTACGGCACAGCCTGTCGCTGGGTGCTGATCTAACCAGCTTCGAAGTGCAAGTACTGGAGTGTAGCGTGGACGAGCTCAACTCGTTAGCTATCGGTGCGGTACGGCGGACATCTCGCCTGACCAACTGTATGCCTGGTTGGGAGAAAGGTGACGTGGGCGTGCACTGTGATGACGGACGTCTGTACCAAGGCTCAGCCAACGTCGATGAAGCATTGTCCTTCTTCTCTGGTGGCCTGGAGAAGGGAGACCGATTCGCTTGTAGCATTGAGTACCTGGAGTCTGACAAGAAAACGACCGAGAGTTCGGTTGGCCTGACATTCACAAAGAACGACCTGCCGATTGGCTGGACGGTTTCGAAAGAGATGCCGCCGGGTGGGTTCTTCCCTGCTGTGGGGTTTCTAGGCCGTGGTACGAAAGTCGGTGTCACTGTGAACCGCACGCTGCTGCGACCGACAGAAAGTGGCGATCTTGATGCCCGTACCACAAGCAGTGACGAGCCGGTTATGCTCAAGCCTCCGCCATCACCACGACTTGGGGCTGCTGCTGTTGAGTTGAAGGATTCGCAGCCGGTTGACTGGGGCAGAGTCAACGATCACTTGTCGTCGGAGAGCGACGGTAGCTTGCGCTACACGGGCAAAGGCCTGGTGGGCAGTGACATTGGACATGCGCGCGCCTACAAGCCCCTGCTGGCGACGCGCTCCTACTTTGAAGTTCACGTTCTGGAGAGTGGCGAGCGGAGCCGAATCGCCGCGGGACTATCATCGTCGTCGACTACGGACGATACCACTCTGCCAGGCTGGCACGACAAGTCGATAGCATACCACGGCGACGACGGCTATGTCTTTTTCGGGTCGGCCGACGACGCTATTCCGGCTAGCCAGAAGCTAAAGTCGGGCGATCGTGTTGGCTGTGGATTGCTGTTCCCCGTCGTAGAGGCAGGCAGGACAATGGCGGGCACTGTGCGCATTGCTAGAGTCTTCTTCACGCTGAACGAAAGCGTCATTGTGGCGCCGCAGGAGGTTCCGATCCCTGCCGGTGGCTTCTATCCCGTGATTGCCATGCTGTCTCCTGGTGCGCGCGTTACTGCTGCTTACCGTGCCTTCTTCAAGGATGCACTTGACGCGACTGCGGAGACACCTGTCGCGGCACTGAATATCAGCGTGGACAACTTCAACCTCTTGCCCGTAGGTGCACATGACAAGAAGGTGGCTGACAAGGACATTGGCCTAGTGCTCTCTAATGATGATCCGCAGCCCCAGACGAGCACACCTCACGCTGCCGAACCGCCTCGCCCCGCCATTCCGAGGGCAGAGTGGACATGCAGCGAGCGGGTGAGAATCACCGATCGGTCAGACGGTGCTGTCCAGGCCAGCGAACTGGAGATGACTGGCCACGATCAGAAGGCGTGCGTGGCTGGGTACACGCACTGTGACACGCCGCTTAGCGATGCCTGCCGCGTGTTTGAAGTGGAGCTGCAATCGCTGGCCGCTGATGGCCAAGTTGCAGTGGGTATCTCACCTTTGCCCAGCTGGAAAGAGTCCATAATATTGCCGCCTGAGACTGTCATGCTCCACTGCCGTACTGGTGAAGTACAGTGGAGTGGGCACTCGCAGATATTTAGTCCTGGACTGAACATTGGAGACCGGATCTCCTGTGCCCTGCACGGCAGTGGCAAGGATGGCCAGCAAGAGCTGGTCTTTGCACGCAACGGTGTGGCCGTGGGTAGCATTGTGGCCGACTTGCCATCGGCAAACTGCTTCCCGTTTGTTGCACTATGGCGTAACGGTGACCGCGTGACCGCCTCGATAGACCCGAGCCGTGCCGTACCCGAATGGCCACCCATCAACAAGACAATGCTGCAGTCGCCGTTGAAGGGTATTCGCCATAACGTGGCCGTCAAGGGACACTATGTGTTCTCCGAGGCAGCCGATTCAGACACCAGCATCTACAGATGGGAGCAGCCGCTCACCGCACAGTTTCCCTACGTCGAAGTGCAAGTGATTTGCAGCCGCTTGCCGTCGGTGGTTGCACTCGGAATTTGCAACGGCACCAGTACGGGTGTGCCGGGAAAGATTCAAGGCTCGGTGGGCTTCTGTAACGGACACGTTGCCATGTGGCCTGAGAAAGCGCGATCGGCGACCGCCAGGAAGGTCTGCTCCAAATCATCAAAGTACTCGTTGGTGCGCCACATGGATACTGTAGGCATGGGTATCAGCTCCCAGGGCATGGTATTTCAAGGCAAGCCCATCGTGTTCTTCACGCACAACGGCTACATGGTGGACTCGCTAGAATGGAGCACTTCTCTGCCTCTCGTCCCGTGTGTCAGCCTGGCAATGAACGGCTGTGTGTGTGTCAACCCCGCTGCAAAGTGGCCGCCGAGTGGGCCGGCCACTGCACCGTGGCAGCACATCAGCAAGCTGCGCTGCAACCAGAATCTGCTGTGCTACACGCACCGAGGCGAGGGTGACGCAGACGTGGGGGTTGCCATGGCAGCCCAGCCGTTCACGCGGACCAACGCCTACTGCGAGCTGGAGATAGTCGACCCCGGCCGTGGTTGCTATGTTGGTATCGGAGCGGCGTGCTCGTCGGGTGGCCCGTACCACGGTATGGTCGGATGGCAAGAGGGCACCGTAGGGTATCATGCTGACGATGGAAGTGTGTTCGAGCGCAATGGCCAAGGTCGGGCGTTTGGACCACTGTGCCAGCAAGGTGACTTCATGGGATGCGGTATGGAGTTCGAGCCAATGTCCAACGATGGAGTCGCACGACCAAAGTGCCTGTTCTTCACACGCAATCATCAAGTCATTGGCTACACCAACTGCCCGTCAGTTCAGTCCCGCAACGTTCCCGGCGTTTCATCGCGCATCAAGTTTCACGCCATGATATCACTGCACAGCGAGGGCGCCATTGTCCGACCTCACCTTGGTGTCGACTGGCCTCTGCAGCGGAATTCCCTGGGGCCTGGTATGGCCCGTGGCTCGCTGCTCCGCTATGTGCAGCCGCCTGGCAAGTATGTATACACCGGTGTACGCTCAGAGAGCTACGACACCGGGACGGTACAAGCCGCGGAGCCGCTGTCGAAGGATGCACCCTACTTCGAGGTGCTCATCGCATCAACGGGTGGCAATGGTGCCATTGGTATCGGTCTGGTGAGTGACAACTACCCTTTGGGCTATCAACCTGGCTGGGCACAGGAGTCGATTGCCCTGCACGTTGACGACGGGAAGCTTTTTGTCAGTGGACAAAGCAAGCCATGCTGCTCACCCTCCGTGCAGGGAGATGTCATCGGGTGCGGCATCATCTTCCCGAAGACAACCCCGTTCAAGGCCGAGCGCTCAAGGAAGTCAGACAGCAAGAAGACGGTAGCAAGTGGAAGCCGCTCGACCGCTACGGTGTTCTTCACGCGCAACGGCAAGAACGTCATGAGTGAGGAAATCAAGCTACCACAGTACGGCTTCTTCCCCGCCGTGGGCTTGCATACATCTGGTGCTGAAGTGGAGGTCAGCCTGAAAGCAGCTTACCCTCCCCTGTGCAAGTTGGGAGAACAATGGCAGCAGTCTGTTCGTTTGCAGTCCAGTAACAATGGAGAGACAATCTGGTACACTGGCAAGAGGACATCGCAGCGCGACAGCGGCATTGCGGTTGCACGAAATCCGCTCGAGCAGGAACGCGCTCACTTTGCCGTCACTCTACTGGCGCAGGGCCAGACCGGTGGCAGCGTGACTGTCGGACTGGTCAACGAGAACTTCTCCGAGGACATGCTGAGACCGGGCGAGGCTGAGAGCTCTGTCGGCTTCCATGCATCCAGCGGCGGTGTGTTCATCACCGGCCAGCCGTCCAGGCTCTGCGCCAAGCCGTGCAGCGTCAACGACGTGATCGGCTGCGGCATCGACCTCAGCCTGTCGGTGACGCCCGGACGCCTGCAGCTCAGTGGCAAGGCCAACTCGCACATCTACTTCACCGTCAACGGCAAGGTGGTCTCGCGCGTGCGCGTGCCGTGTGCTCCGCACCTTCTCTACCCGGCGGTGAGCCTGCACGGCGAGGGCGACAAGGTTCAGGTCGAGCTGGACAATCCACCGCAGCTAGCCCGTGCAAAGCACCGCTCCATTGGCTGGGCTCGCTCCCATGAAGTCCAGCTGCACGGCAGCATGGTGCGGCACCTGTCGTCCACGGCGACGGCCATGAGCTTGCACCGCAAGTCAGACTCGCTGGGCATTGCGCAGGCCGTGCTGTTCGACGCCAACAGCCAAGAGCAGTACTTCGAGGCGATCCTGATGTCGTCCGGAAAGCTCTGCAACGTGTGCCTGGGCTTTGCTCCGCTGGACATGCCTGTCACTCAGGCACCGGGCACCTCACCGGGTAGTGTTATGTTCAGTTTGGCAAAGGCCGCCGTCTTCAATGGCCATGACCAGGCCAAGATCTGCGCCAAAGCAGAGTTCAGCTCGGGCGATTCGTTCGGCTGCTACATGGTGTGGCCGGACAGCGACGTGGCCAGCGTGTCTCATCTTCCGCGCGGCACAGCTCAAGCGGTGTTCCTGCACAACCATGAAGAGATCGCTCGCTGCATTGCCAAGATCCCGGATGGCCTGGACCCCTGTGATCTCCTGCCCACGGTCACCCTGTGTGGCAAGGACGAGGAAGTCTTCTTCAACGCAATGGAAGCACAGGTGCCTGCTGCTGTCAGGGCGTCCAACTGGCTTCAGTTTGCCAACATTAGAATGAATGATGAAGGCCAGTGCTCGGCCAAGCCGCATCTATCGCAGCCCGGACTGCTGCAGCTGAGTCAGCCCCTCACCGCAGATACGTCTGGCTTCGAGGTCAGGTGTCATGTTGAAACATCTGGCGTGTACGTTGGTATTGCGCCAGCTCTGTTCCCCTTCTCAGAGCAGATGGGCCGTGTGCAAGGAAGTATTGGAGTGGAAATGGAGGGTGGAATGATCATCTGTGAAGGCCATCACGTTGCCGATTGTCCACCGTTCGCTGAAGGAGATGCACTGGGCCTGGCTGTGGATTTCTTGGAGAACAGCATTCTCGGCGGTATACCGTATCATGCCGTGGCCATCACGCGCAATGGCTCGGTCGTCGGCAGAACAACTATTGGTGTGAAGAAGGGCCACCACATCCACCCAGCGTTGGTGATCACTGGTGATAAGGCCAGCGTCAAGATGCACACAGCCCTGAGCAAGGTGCCACGGCCAGTCTTCAATTCCATCGGCTGGATGCAGATGAAGCGTGTGGTGGTGTCCAGCTACGGCCACTGTCTGCGCTACAGCGGCAGCGGTGAAGGCCCGCATGACAGCGGTGTCGCCATTTCCTCCACTGCCCTCTCACCAATGAACAACTACTTTGAGGTTGCAATATGCACGAGTGGACGTGACGGCTCCATCGGTATCGGCTTAGTGCACCCCGAGTATCGCTGTGATCATATGCCTGGCTGGCTGCCTCTATCGGTTGCGTACCATGCCGATGACGGCGGTATCTTCCTGGGACTTGGCAAGACCGACAAGTTTGCATCACAGTGTCATCGCCTGGACGTGATGGGATGTGGCATCAACTTCTCCGCCAAGCCAACGGAAGCCGGCAAGATCGAAGTGTTCTTTACACGCAACCGCAATGTCGTAGCAACCGAGTATTTAGCCGTGCCGCCAACCGGTCTCTTTCCCGCCGTCGGCATGCTGTCACCAGGAGAACGGGTGTTTGTCGACTTTGTTCCATGGCAAGAGGATGAGCAGGCACTGAGTTCAGCGGTGGTGAATGACACCACTTTTCACAACGACACCACAAGCTAGCTAGCTGCCAACCGTGCTGCTTAGCCGGGAAGACGACGGGGCCAAGTCGGCCAGTGGACATGCTCGGCAGCTAGATGAAAAAGTGCCGGCACGCAATCGGTGTCAACAAGGCATGCCAACAATGTCCACCACTGAGCAACCGCGGCCACAAGCTGTATGCACTCTGGGCTACCCGCGTCGGAGTCATCCGCACATGCTTTTCTAAACTATGCCAGCCTAAGTTCCTCGGAGAGGAAGGCTAGACTATTATTGTGCACCTTTCTGCCGCAAACCTCCTCATCTTTATCCCGTTACCAAGACATTCTCAGAGCTTTTCGTTTATTTCGAATTTTTATGATGCCACAGATGCACACTTCCAAATTATTCCCTCGCCACATGTACATGTACTGTGACCATCCCCACACTTGAGGCTGCTAGGAGGCTGCATGGATTTCTTGAATATGACAGAGCTGTGAACCTGGCAAGGTTACCCCTATCCATGAGATAGACATGAGAATAATATTTACAATATGTAACGTTATACTCGTGCATGTCGAATCCATTTCAAAGTAGGTTATACAGTCGTCCCTCTCTAATCCGGCACTTGTTTATCCGGAACCCTTGCCAACCGGCGCGCTTTCTGATGACCCCCCCCCCCCCGCCCCCGATTTTTTTCGTTCAATTCCTACATCTTAATCCGGCACTTGAATTCCGCCTCCGGCAGTGACTTTTTGAAACGAATCGCTCAAACTGCACGTAGTTTGATTTCATAATCCGGCAGTCCTAGGGTTCCCAGTAAAAAGGCAACGCCTGTTGGGAGTTCCCTAGTAAAATAATAAATTCTACTACAGTTGAACATCGATTATCCGACCACCTCTGGGCAGACAACTGTCAGGCGGAGTTCAGATAAGGCAAATGTTCTGGATAAGAAAAAACTGTCACTCACACACTTTCAGTGGTTATTACTAGCCGCACGACCTTTTTACTTTTTACTTTTCAAAATTTTCGTATTTTTTGAATGGCTCACTACATGCACAGTGCGTACTCTACGGCACGTGCGCCCAAAAAAACTGTTACGGATAATCGAATGGTCGGATAGTCGATGTGCGGATAATCGATGTTCAACTGTACTACTACTGCTACTTCTACTACTACTACTACTACTACTACTACTACTACTACTACTACTACTACTACTACTACTACTACTACTACTACTACTACTACTACTACTACTACTACTACTACTACTACTACTACTACTACTACTACTACTACTACTACTACTACTACTACTACTACTACTACTACTACTACTACTACTACTACTACTACTACTACTACTACTACTACTACTACTACTACTACTACTACTACTACTACTACTACTACTACTACTACTACTACTACTACTACTACTACTACTACTACTACTACTACTACTACTACTACTACTACTACTACTACTACTACTACTACTACTACTACTACTACTACTACTACTACTACTACTACTACTACTACTACTACTACTACTACTACTACTACTACTACTACTACTACTACTACTACTACTACTACTACTACTACTACTACTACTACTACTACTACTACTACTACTACTACTACTACTACTACTACTACTACTACTACTACTACTACTACTACTACTACTACTACTACTACTACTACTACTACTACTACTACTACTACTACTACTACTACTACTACTACTACTACTACTACTACTACTACTACTACTACTACTACTACTACTACTACTACTACTACTACTACTACTACTACTACTACTACTACTACTACTACTACTACTACTACTACTACTACTACTACTACTACTACTACTACTACTACTACTACTACTACTACTACTACTACTACTACTACTACTACTACTACTACTACTACTACTACTACTACTACTACTACTACTACTACTACTACTACTACTACTACTACTACTACTACTACTACTACTACTACTACTACTACTACTACTACTACTACTACTACTACTACTACTACTACTACTACTACTACTACTACTACTACTACTACTACTACTACTACTACTACTACTACTACTACTACTACTACTACTACTACTACTACTACTACTACTACTACTACTACTACTACTACTACTACTACTACTACTACTACTACTACTACTACTACTACTACTACTACTACTACTACTACTACTACTACTACTACTACTACTACTACTACTACTACTACTACTACTACTACTACTACTACTACTACTACTACTACTACTACTACTACTACTACTACTACTACTACTACTACTACTACTACTACTACTACTACTACTACTACTACTACTACTACTACTACTACTACTACTACTACTACTACTACTACTACTACTACTACTACTACTACTACTACTACTACTACTACTACTACTACTACTACTACTACTACTACTACTACTACTACTACTACTACTACTACTACTACTACTACTACTACTACTACTACTACTACTACTACTACTACTACTACTACTACTACTACTACTACTACTACTACTACTACTACTACTACTACTACTACTACTACTACTACTACTACTACTACTACTACTACTACTACTACTACTACTACTACTACTACTACTACTACTACTACTACTACTACTACTACTACTACTACTACTACTACTACTACTACTACTACTACTACTACTACTACTACTACTACTACTACTACTACTACTACTACTACTACTACTACTACTACTACTACTACTACTACTACTACTACTACTACTACTACTACTACTACTACTACTACTACTACTACTACTACTACTACTACTACTACTACTACTACTACTACTACTACTACTACTACTACTACTACTACTACTACTACTACTACTACTACTACTACTACTACTACTACTACTACTACTACTACTACTACTACTACTACTACTACTACTACTACTACTACTACTACTACTACTACTACTACTACTACTACTACTACTACTACTACTACTACTACTACTACTACTACTACTACTACTACTACTACTACTACTACTACTACTACTACTACTACTACTACTACTACTACTACTACTACTACTACTACTACTACTACTACTACTACTACTACTACTACTACTACTACTACTACTACTACTACTACTACTACTACTACTACTACTACTACTACTACTACTACTACTACTACTACTACTACTACTACTACTACTACTACTACTACTACTACTACTACTACTACTACTACTACTACTACTACTACTACTACTACTACTACTACTACTACTACTACTACTACTACTACTACTACTACTACTACTACTACTACTACTACTACTACTACTACTACTACTACTACTACTACTACTACTACTACTACTACTACTACTACTACTACTACTACTACTACTACTACTACTACTACTACTACTACTACTACTACTACTACTACTACTACTACTACTACTACTACTACTACTACTACTACTACTACTACTACTACTACTACTACTGAAATGTGTTTTTATTGAAAGCACAAAGCAATGAAGATGTGAATGCAAGGAGGGCAATGAATTCAAAAGGTGAACAGCAAAATTGTAACAAAATAGAAAGATAACAAATATTAATGGCAACAGCAATGTTTATACATGAAAAAGGGGAAGGAAAAGGAAAGAAAAACATCCAAACCAGAACTGTTTGAACACCGCCAGAATTGAAACCGAGATTCATACAGAAGAAAAAACTTCAGGACACCGGAAAACAAACTTTAGATCACATTTTGACATTATACGAGATGATGACAAAGAAAAACTATGCCCTAGAGAGCACACGGCAGTCATTCACAAAGCTCGCCGAGCGCTTAGAGCGATAGGAGGACCTAGAGCCACGTAAACAGGTGATACACCAGCGAAGTAGGCAGAATGACAAACGGCATCGCAAATGATTGACAACAACAGAATACACCAAATCAGCATTTTTCTCTAGAATACGGCCAACCAATGCCTTCAAAAACACGGAACACTCCTTCCCTATCATGCCGTTGGTCGCAAATACCAGAGGGGTGAATGTGCCCCGATCGATCTGATTCACTCGCTCTGCGTAATGCCGCTTTTTTTCCCGCTCATTGCGCTCCAATTGGCTCATGGCTTTTTCACGAGACAGCAAGGTGGCCCTGGGATGCGTTACCCGGATATCGAAGAAGGCCTCCTGCTGCCGCGTCCAAAAGCCACGAGCCCTGACGTCAAGCCGCGCTTCCTGGGATCGGTTAGATGTTGACCATGCCAATGTCTCACCACCAAATGGGAGAAGGTTGGGCTCGATTGCCACATCGGGACTTACACTTCTGAGTAGCTCAGCGATGAGATCACGTATCTCATTATGCCTTGCGGTGGGATAGCCACCACAAGGGCACACCATGGCATGGTCAGTCGACAAGTTAGCTACTACTACTACTACTACTACTACTACTACTACTACTACTACTACTACTACTACTACTACTACTACTACTACTACTACTACTACTACTACTACTACTACTACTACTACTACTACTACTACTACTACTACTACTACTACTACTACTACTACTACTACTACTACTACTACTACTACTACTACTACTACTACTACTACTACTACTACTACTACTACTACTACTACTACTACTACTACTACTACTACTACTACTACTACTACTACTACTACTACTACTACTACTACTACTACTACTACTACTACTACTACTACTACTACTACTACTACTACTACTACTACTACTACTACTACTACTACTACTACTACTACTACTACTACTACTACTACTACTACTACTACTACTACTACTACTACTACTACTACTACTACTACTACTACTACTACTACTACTACTACTACTACTACTACTACTACTACTACTACTACTACTACTACTACTACTACTACTACTACTACTACTACTACTACTACTACTACTACTACTACTACTACTACTACTACTACTACTACTACTACTACTACTACTACTACTACTACTACTACTACTACTACTACTACTACTACTACTACTACTACTACTACTACTACTACTACTACTACTACTACTACTACTACTACTACTACTACTACTACTACTACTACTACTACTACTACTACTACTACTACTACTACTACTACTACTACTACTACTACTACTACTACTACTACTACTACTACTACTACTACTACTACTACTACTACTACTACTACTACTACTACTACTACTACTACTACTACTACTACTACTACTACTACTACTACTACTACTACTACTACTACTACTACTACTACTACTACTACTACTACTACTACTACTACTACTACTACTACTACTACTACTACTACTACTACTACTACTACTACTACTACTACTACTACTACTACTACTACTACTACTACTACTACTACTACTACTACTACTACTACTACTACTACTACTACTACTACTACTACTACTACTACTACTACTACTACTACTACTACTACTACTACTACTACTACTACTACTACTACTACTACTACTACTACTACTACTACTACTACTACTACTACTACTACTACTACTACTACTACTACTACTACTACTACTACTACTACTACTACTACTACTACTACTA